TCATTCCTTCAGGCACAGGCAAAATGCACTGTCTCCTCTTGCAGGCCTTCTCCTAGACTGCCTGCTGCTGCTATTTGTGTCACCTATATGTAAATGACATTAAAGCCCTAACCACATTAAAGCTTGTCCACGGTGGTGGTGACACATGGCTGCTAGCTTTGAAGTTTTACTAGAGCACACAGTCTCTGCTGCTTCATGCTAGTCATCTGGGAAGAAGCAAGGCAGGAAGCCAGACACCACCGTTGTCAGGGCAGAGACAACAGCGTACCTGCTCAGGAGAGTAAAAACCGATCCTTGTGCTGTCCCGTGACCAGCCTGGATCTTGTGCGCCGCATACTCCTTCTGCTACGTATTGCAAGATACTTGATATCCATGAAGCAAAGGGAGGATATGTGCTGGCTTGAGGACCTGAATACCTGTTTTGACAAGGTAGATCATGGCTTTCACAAAATAAAGCTTTCTTAAATGGTATTAAACTGCTTTTATGTGACTTTCTTAAGTAACCTGTAACTCTCTTAAGCAATTATAAGTGATGAAATACTTTTAAAAACATTAGCCCATAGAGTGTTGATTGTTTAATCTTTGTACCACAAACTAGTACATTCTTTTTATTTTTGCTACACATAAAATGAAAATATGATCTGACAGCATTTGTGAGCGTCTTTGTCACTGGGTCCAAGTATACATGCAAGCAATGGGCTTGAAACTGGATTGGCAAACTAAGGTTTCTGCATTTTTTATGTTAACTTCTCTCTTATTTTTATTATGAAAAAATAAAAAATCAGAATATTCTTGGACTACTTTAAATTTGTTGTCATTGCCAAACTTCAGCAGTGAAGTTGTTCTACAGAGTAGCAGTCCAAGGGCATATCCAAACAGCCAGGCATTTGCAGGCTTGTACCATCCTCACGTGAATGAGGGATCTGAACCAGACATGACATCCCTCAGGATGGCCTTAGCACCACCATCATCATGGGACTGTGCCTGCCCTCCTACGTCCCCTCTCTTGTGCCGTTACATGGCAGTACCTCACCCCACACTGTGACTTCCCATCCCTGTACCAGGCACGTCATTTCTACACAGGACCAAGTGGAGTGTTTCAGTGCCTCAGGTCAGGATGTGCCCCTCGACTCCCATGCACATTTTTAGTTTAGTGTCTGTACCTCATCTACCTAGAATAAAAGGTACGGGTTTAAGGTTTTATGTACTTTGGAAATGAGAACAGAAACAGATGTTCTGGCAATGAGTCAGATAAAATAAAAGAAGGCAATATCATACCCACAATTTTATTATATCACTCTGAATGGTATTAAAAATTTGTAAATTATGACAAGTTTTCAAACAAAACTAAGTTCAAACCATCTTCTCTTGGCAAAACATATTATTTATGTGCTTGAATTGAATTGTTTTATGTAACCATATCCCTTAAGCATTCATGAACATTAACAACATTATAATTTTAATGGTAAGTTCTAGGTAATAGATGCAAGGCAGAAGATGCTATTGGATGTAATAAAATCATCCAGGTCCTGGCTGATGAATACCCAGAATTTAAAAGCTGTGTCTGCACTACAGACGATTTCTGTAGCATCACAACTTTGCTTGGGAAACAGTGCAGCATTGATAAAGGTAACTAAACACAAAGATTTAATTGTGAAGAACAAAAAGACATATATAATTTTTTAACCTTCGTTTTAAGTGAATTCAAGTTTCTTTACATATTTCTCCAATCTGATCATTCGCCCAAAAAATTTGTTTTTTCCTTTCTATGATATTTGCCCACTGACATGCATATGATAGCAATGCCATATCTACTTTAAAATAAACAAAACCAATAAAACGCATGTGAGCTCTTGCTCATTCCAACGGAAAGCAAGAGTGATAATACTACATATGTTGAGGGCTACTTGTTGCCCAAGCAGGCTTGAGCGCCACTGGATCTATGTTACATATAGAGAGCCGCATCCAGCCACCTTGTGAATGGAGCGTGGGTGAATGGGGATGCACAGCTGTGCAGTTGTGTCACTTTGTGTTGTAGGAGCACCTTCACTACATCTAGGAGAGGTTATTGGATGCGGGAAACACCGTTACTACCTTCATAAAGCCGTACTTAATATATAAAGTGCATCCTTTTTAAAATTCCATTGAAAGCAATGAGCCCAGCTCCTTTAAATTTATTTATTATCCTGAGAACTCTTTTCCCTTCAGAAAACCTATTTCTATAATTGAAACTTACTTGGTTCATTAAAGGCTTGCAGTTTCTGATCCAATGTCTGCTGGAGTAACGACTAGCAGAGCTGACATGAGAGAGGTAAAATCAGCCAGTGGATGAGAGTCTGGAAAGTAAGCCCCAAGGTTCACTCCCAGCTCTGACACATCACTCCCTGCTGGCATCAATCGGTGTGCAACACACAGTAGTAGAATATATGGCTTTGTTGCACAGGAAATAATAGCATCCTGACCCAAACAAGCAGAGTGGGTATCTAAAACCTGATGTTGATGTCACTGGAAGTTGCTTTGCTTCCAGCAATTTGAAGTAATTTTATATTTTTTGCTGACTGAGATTACATTTCTCACCAGTATAGCAAAAAGCTTGGATGGAGTTACACTGTTATTGGTTTTACCTACAGGTGATAACTTATGGTATTGATAGATAGTTTCAGGGGTAATTCTCCCTGTCTATATTAAATGGCTATTTTAGGTAATGAATGAACCATCTTCTGGAATGCCCATTCTCTCTTTACAAATTATGCATTGAATTAAGATGATAATCCATGATATGTCCGATCTGTAGGTAGTCAAAATTATGTGAGACAAATCCCTTTATGCAGTAAGGATTAGTGAGAGTTTCTCGTATTACTGTTAGCACATGAATTGTTAAAGTAGACTGTATGACACAGCTACCAGGAAACAGTAAGCATGAGGAAGATGCATTAGTCTGCAAGACTCTGAAATTATTACATATTTACATGCAGCTCAGAATGAAACTAGGGCTGTTTCATTAACTTTATTGCATTAAGACAATTATCCCTTTCCTGAGTTTGTTTTGAGCTGATGATGCTCCATCTTCCATTTGATTTATATCTCTGTTGGTGTCTGTACAGAACATTTGGAAACTTCCTCAAGATCAGATACTGAACTGAGTTTTAGGCAACACAGAAACCCCAAAGACCAAAGACACCTGGAAGAACTAGAGAACGACTGCAGTATTGCAAAGCAACGCTGTCGAGAGGACCGCCACTGTTTTCCAGTGTATAAGAGCTTCCAGCGAGCGTGCCCGGCAGACACAGCAAAATGCCGGCTCCCAGTGCTCAGCCAGGAGTGTCTGTCAGCATGGAAAGAACTGAGGAAAACAGCGCTGGGAGAGTGCAAGTGTTCGGAGCCACTTCAGATGAGATGCCTTAAAATATGGAAGGGAATATTTAACAACCCTTGTTTACAATACTCTCAAGAGAGCCAAGCTTCAGCAGCCAGTGAAAATGACGAACATGGTGATGACGATGATGATGATGATGTTGATGATGACAAAAATCAGGACACGGCCATAGGTTAGTGGTATTCCAGCAGTCTGAACGCTTTCATACATAACAGTTGTGTGCACAAGTCTGTGAAAAAAGGTTTTCTTAATCCTTTACAGTTTAACATTGGAACAGACTAGTTTTGAGAGGCTTATTTAGATGTGAATGAATAATCTGATAGCCAAATTATAGTCCGAGTTCAAATACTATTGTCCTTCAATGTGTTAATTTGATACAACCTGATCCAAATCTGTCCCTTGTAGTATTACACTACAGCTAGAAAAAATATAATACCAATCTCATGACAAGCAGTTAGTTCAGCCTGAAAATTGGGTGCACTGATGAAAACATTAAGGCCTCTGACCTTTATACATTCATAAGAAATCTGAATTTATACCGTGCTCAGCAGCTCTAAAAACTCTTCTTGAGTTCGCCGGACCTATAATTATGTAGAAAATGTTATCAGCAGACATTGATAAACTCTGCTTTCACTCCAAAACTCATGAATATATGTAACAGTGATTTTAGAGTTTATTAACAAGCTGAAAGGTCCTATTTGGTCAAGCTAATTTGTTTTATTCTTATTTATTTTTAGTACTGGCACTACGCCAGCAACATGGGCAACACTTTAAAGTTAAAAACTAAGCTAAGACATGATTTATCACTTATGCCTATATCCATCTCTTTTTGTTCTAGACAATATTAGCATGGAAACAAAATTACAATGGAGTTTATCTGCTCTCTCCAAACAAGGTAAGCCTGAATTTACTTACGAATCCTAACAACTGGTTTTAGCTCCTTTTTCAGATAGTGTAGAATGTGTCTTGAGATTAAAATGAATAATTTTCATTCAAGTTACTGAAGATCAGGGCATCAATAGAGTCAACATATTTTCAGTTAAGCTACTGAGTAGATAGGAATCCAAAAATGTCACGTAAGAATCCTGATGCTGTTAAATTTACAGAGGCAAATCTTATCCCACAAACATTTAAGGGTCAGAGTTATATAGATCTTTTTCGAGGTTATAGAGTGTAGGCTAGAAACACCTAAACTAGCTTTAAAAGCACAGAAATGCCATTTGTATTCTCTCCTCCATTACTTATTATGTAGCCTAGCATGAGACTGTATGCTGGACATTTCAGCAGTTTCAGGTATCTACTAGCCACTAGCTTCCAGAAACTGTTACATACCATGAAAAAGCTTCCATCTTGCCAGTTTTCCCTTTCTTCTCCCTTAGTTATCTGGCAGGGGTAGAAAATTGCAGGACGGTTGCTTATGTGGGCCAAGAAGTGGAAGGGAGAATTACGAAGCTCATACAATGGGCTTAAAAGAGACAGTGCTGGAAGAGCTGGATCAAAGTTTTTGGGAGACAAACTTGGTTTTAATGGGAATGTTGCAGGCAGGATGACTACCAGTCATCACTTGAGAAAAATTTTGTTGTGATTTCATTTTAAAAACTACTGTTCTTTTCCGCATACACAGCAAATGGAACCTGTTTGGATGTGAACAAGGAGTGTGTTGAAGATGAAGTATGTAACCAACAGTTGTCCCTGTACCTTAAGGTTTGCTCAGTAAATAAGAAATGCAACATGGAAGAATGTGAAGCAGCCATAAGGTTCTTCTATCGAAACATGCCTCTTGAAGTTGCCGAAATGATGATATTTTGTGATTGTATCCAGCCTGATGAATCCTGCCACAGAGCCAAAGAACTTCTCCATGGCAAGCCCTGTGCAGTTACTGCAGTTCCACCCCCATCATGTCTGAAGGTAATCCACATGTGTGAAGAGAATGAACTGTGCAGGTAAGTGGAAGAAAGATTTTGCCCAGTAATGTGCTTTTGAAGAACGATTTGATCAAACAAATTTTATTTATACACCATATATCACCTCTACACCAAAACTCTTTTCTGCACTGTATCTACTGTATGTCCTCACTTGTGTTTGACATCTTCACAGACGTCTGCGTCAACTGTGGCAATTCCACAAGTGATTCCACGAGTAAACTGAAAAGGTTCAATGTCAGAATGGTCTGGAATCTAGTGTGGGCTTTTCTTCTGCCTGTTTCACGATACTTAACACCATTTCTGCTGGACAAACTATGCCATTGCATATTTTCATTACTGCTTTCTTCAGATAACATCTGCCAGTCTGCACCTTTGCTCTCTAGCAGTTTGCACAAATTGTGCAGCAGATCGGACGAAGTTTGTTTGGTTAAAGTAATTACCTCTTCCGCTGTGGAGTCCGACCTTTTCTACCCAACAGCTACGCAAACAACTTGGCCAGTTCAGAAAACTTTCGTCTTTTTCTTTTCATCTCAAGCATATCGATACTTGAAAAAAGCTGCCCTGAAACATGCACTGACCACCAAACTCATGAAGAATAATGCAGTTTTCAGATCAGGTTTTATTTTTAGAAAGCATGCAACAGGATTAGCCCATATTCGTAGTTCTACTTAATTGCCACCTTTTGTGGACGGTTGGTTGACCCACTTTGGTTTTCAGTGCCATCACCAGTTCACTTGTGGGTTAGACCTGAATTTTACCTGAAAGCTGTGCTCAAATTAACCTTCAGTCAAAAAAGCAGGAGGCCAAGAGATGCTTTCAGTTCTGTGCAGGCTATTCAGATTGACGTCAGTGGGAATTGCCCCTTTTGTGTCAAGAAGAAATGGGCTACAAATGCATGTCTGTGCATATGCATGTGTACACATGTAATATCCTAATGGAGACTTGCTGAAATACCCGTTATTACAGGAACATTAATGTTTCCTTGTACTGACAATAAGTGGATATAATTAGCAAAATTAGTCTGTGAATTATGGCTAGCCATGTCTATAAATCAGGAGGTGAATAATTCTATTAGCACAGAGGTGGCATCTGCTTTGAAACCTTTTCTTGTGTATTGAAAATATTTACGATAATCTCTCAGCCAGTATTGCAACAGTCCATGCTTTTCCATGTGGCTTGCTTGTAATCGCCACACAATACCGACAGTAAATTAATAACCTAATTTTATGATTAAGGGAAAAATGTTTTAATATATTAATATACAACACACAACAGTTTATCTTTATCATCCCCTAGCATTTTATATTTTGTTAGCATTTGGGAGGGGGAGGGGTTGGCATTGGATGTAGATTATTTTATGTAAAATAAGTTGAATATTCATTCTTCTTTCACACTGCCCAACAAACTGATCCACTAGAACAGCACCTGGTGTGGTTTCATTTTGATGACTGGTCTACTTCCTCTATCTGCACTGCTTCTCTGAGGATCTGAGGCTGTTGGTATTCACGCTGACTTCTGCTGGACCTTGGGAAAATCTCCCCAGGTGCTGGTTAGAAGCGCAGTTGCTTTTTCTCAAAAACTTTTTCAATAAAAACAAGTTTTTCCTCAGATTAAAATTTTACAGATTTCAGTCAAACCCATTAGGTGCAATTCAGAGCAGAATTTTGGCCAGCTATCACCGAATAGTATGATTTTAAGACTTAAGTGGTACCTTGGGAATACATTCCTTAAATGTCTTTTTGTGAAATCAGAGAGTTTTTAAACTGTCGTTGTATACTTTTTTTTTTTCCACCAGGAGAAAATACACAACTTTTCGGTCAAAGTGTTGGAGACACGTGACAAAAAAATGCTACAATGATGAAGCTTGTCTTGAAACTTTAATCAAGGATGACATGCCCTGTTCCGCAAATTCTGACTGCAAAGCAGCCTACATTAGCAGCTGGGGCACGATGCTGCGTGCAGAGTGTACCTGCCAGAATTTGCCTTCCGTGGAGCAGTCTTTGTGCCAGCTCTTCCATCACATGCTTCACAGCAAATCCTGCTTCCGTGAGTTACGTGAGTAGCACATAAAACTTTAAAGAATAATTAGTTTTAAAGAGTATTTAAATGCTGACTTACATGAAATCTTTACTATATCTTTGCTACCAATGATTACAGCAAGATTTATATCTGTGGGATATTTAATCCAAATCCAAATGCAAATTGCACTTACAGTTTTTTCCTGTGGTTTGGGGAAATATTTATACTAGTAGTAAACGAATAAAATTGACTACATGTGTCACTACATGAATTTGCTGTAATAACAATAACAGAATAATTTCACAGATTAGAAAACTCCAAAGCCTTCCTGTCATTGGCTTAATGCTGTACTTCGGTACACTTTTTTTACAGTATGACAAATTACATTGTTGTTTCTTTCTTTTCTTCTTGGAGTCTTAATATTAGCATAGCTTACTTGCATTTAGCAACAGACTTCATTCCACAGAAAATAACTTCAAAGATTTAAACAGGCCCTCTCAAAGAAGAAGCTGCTGTGAATGGAGGCTTCAGGATTTGGCCTTCTGTAAAAACCCTGGGGTTAGCTTGGATTAAATGTATGTACTTCCTCAGAACCAGTAAAACCTTTCAAGTGCCAGATCAGCTACTTATTTTAGTTAAATATAAAAGTCCTTGCCAAGTCTCTGGTTGAGAGAGAATTGTTAGTGCAGTGAATGGCCATATGGGATCAAACATTCATGTTTTAGTTCAAATCAAGAGTGTGCCTTCGAAGCAAATCCCCTGTTTGTCCCAACTTTATTGTGCTGTGGGTCACATCAGAGGGTGGTTCCACATCACAGGATGGTTCCTGGACTCCTGCAGCCTAAAACTGAACCTGAAGGTTCATCTGCCACTTCCGCGACACTCCAGCTACATCCAGGCATCTAGTCCATGCATCAGATTAAAGATCAATGTACTCTCTTCTAAAATCTCTGATCTATCACACCAGCTATTTTGCTATGTAAATCCTTTTAGGATTGCTGGTGCCTCATGGATACCTTATAAATGCTTATAAATATCTAAAGGGTGGGTGTCAGGAGGATGGGGCCAAACTCTTTTCAGTGGTGCCCAGCGACAGGACAAGGGGCAACGAGCACAAATTGAAGCACAGGAAGTTCCAGCTGAACATGAGGAAGAACTTCTTCACTCTGAGGGTGACGGAGCCCTGGAACAGGTTGCCCAGGGAGGTTAAGGAGTCTTCTTCTCTGGAGATATTCAAGATCCACCTTGACAAGGTCCTGTGCAGTCTGCTCTAGGTGACCCTGCCTCGGCAGGGGGGTTGGACTAGATGACCCACAGAGGTCCCTTCCAACCCCTAACATTCTGTGATTCTGTGATTCTGTGTTTCTGTGATTCTGTGATCATACCCAATGCCAGTCATCTGCTATATATAATACATATATTCTCAACCTAGCTTGGGAGAGGTAACTATATCTACAGATTTCAATGAAAAGCAACGACTATTTCATAGTTCCATCTGCTGGACTCTTTTTAAAACATGTGTTAATTGCACATATGCATTTCATTGAATGAATTAGCTATTTTTTTAGTATTAGCCACCAAAATGTTACCACTGATAAGGGTGCAATTTTTTTCTTGTCACTCAAAGTCTTCCCAGAAATTACAATCAGGTTGCTGAAACAAAGCCCTTAAGCTTAGTTAATCACTACTAAAATTCAGACTCTGAGAAAAGATTAAAAATCATATAACAACTGCACTGGAAAAGTGATACCATAACACACTTAGATTTGAGACTACTGGCAGCGATTTTGCTGATGAATGTTACTTATTTGTTTGCTTGCTTTATGGCTGCATTTAGTGGTCCAAATTAGTGATCACATCATTGTGTTAGTTATTCTTTACCTACAAAGAAAAAAGATGACCCTCATATCATAATAATCAAATAATCGCTCATGAGCTTTTGCCATTCCCTGAAGCGGTCTCAGGATAAAATGGGGTTTTTCTGTGATGGATATTTCCCTAACGTAATAGGGACTGAAGAACAGAAGCTTGCTTGCTCCTGTGGTGTGAAGAATTCCTGCTAGTTGAATAAAAAACAGTTTGGGGATCCAGGGCCTTTGACTGAGTAAAGGATTGGCACCCACTCTACAGAACATTTGCAGAGTCTTGTGAATCTTGCTTTTGTTTTTTCTGGATGTCTAGTTGTAATGCAGCTAAACTGAAGAGAGGGATGATTATGGGTTTGACTGTAAAGCACAGTGTTAAATGCCATTATCTGCATGGCAATTCAGAGACCAGACCTCATCCAACCCCTTCTGCTAACTCCTTCTTCTGGAATGGGTGTTAACTTCGGATAACTTTCACTCTTACAGTGGTGATGAGTTTTAACATTGAAATCTTTCTAAACAGGCAAATACCCAGGGCTAGCAAAAGGAATCTTTGCCTCTAGAACTGGTGTGAACAGACCCACAAGCAGTGTTTACACCATCACGCTTTCCTACTCTTGTATGGCCCTGCCTTGCTACACACATCTGCTCTAGTGGCTGTGCTTACAGGATTAAAGCTTACTGCAGGCTCAGGAAAAGGCAAGAACTGGCTGCTATACGAGACAGAAGCACAGTGTGGATCAGTGCCAATGTAGGATGTCACAATAGGAATAAGCAAAAATGCCAGTGACAGAAAGTAAAAGGTGAAGTTTCCAAAATATTTTCACTCTGGGTTGTACTTTTGGATCTCACAGAAAAAATACTTCACAAGGAGATTTAGTCCATCGCTATTTAGACAATCATGTTCCAGGCTGCAAACATGAGCCTTTGTTATATTGTTTTCATTCCTCTAGGGAATCAAAATTTCTCAGCTTACAGTTCATGTGAGTGACCATGCACAGTCTTGTATGGTTTAGCCCCTTGCTCTGCAAACTATTCTACTTAGGTAAATATTTTACTTTTCATTTCAACAGAGACACGTATTTTCAGCTGTATTAATGAAATTATGCCCACTAAGAGGACAGGCCTTTATGAAAGAGTTGATTGAGGTCTAGCAGTTCATTTGGAGAATAAGCACTGCCTTTTGGAAATTACTTCAAACTACTACCTATTTCTCATCACTTCTACATTGGTTTGGTGGGCCCAATTCTTTCGGTGGGCCTATTTCTAAAACAGTTTATGTGAAAAGAGAATTTACACTGTTTTGAGGCAAAGAATATCTTTAAAGCACGCTTGTCCCCCATAAGACAAAATACACTGGAGGTTTGACTGAGATGGCAAAGGAAGAACTGTTCACTTTGATCACCAATTATCAGTAAATAATATTTTTAAATAGTTGCCTTTATAAACTCTGTGACTTTTCTCAAAACAAGAAACAGCAATATTCACTTAAATTATTATTTTAAACTAATATTTTGAATGGATATTTTCTCTCCAATGTTCAGGTCAAATTTCCATTAAGAAGAAAGGTTTTAATTGGGCAAACACAGAAATGCCAGGAAACAAGCTTTCCAGAGCACACCTCCATTCTTCTTCAATTAACGGTGAGTTTGGGCAAAGCAGTCCATGATTTCAATAGAAGTACGCTTGAGACTTCCCTCGTGTATGATAGGAAAGACTAAAGGTTGGGTCCCTTGGATGGATTCAGGCAAGTGAGCTCTACCTGTTGCTCCCCCATTCAACTTAATGTGGAAAAATCTCTCTACCTGTTTGGCTTAGCTTATATAACCACAAAATAAAGATAATGAGACTGAACCGATTTCTCTGATAAGTGGTTTTGAATTAGATGTCTCATAATCACTATATTATAATTGGGGAAAATTAAGCTATTAGGCCTGCTGGAGCCTGACTCTCCATACAGTCACTAGAGAGTAGTAGTCATAATGTGTGATACAAATTATTTGCTTTGATGTCACACCTAATTCTTTCCTATCTCTCTTGACTTTTTTGTGCCATAGTAGTTACAACAACGAAATTAGGAAGCCACAGTAAGTGGTCTGAGAAGGTGCCTGTGTTACACTCTGTCAGACTTTACCTTCTCATGTAACAGAAGGGCAGATAATTGCGGATCATGATTTCCCATGGTCTGAAGAGCTGCATCTGGTTTTATTTCCACGCATTTGCAGTAAGCAATTAAGTGACATAAAGTTAAAGGATATTGAATTAATATACAAATTCTCTCATGGATGAAATAATATTAATTTTATATTTCCTTTTGAAGGACCCAATTACAGTGAGAACACTAAAGAGCTTAATGCACAAATATCGACTGTAACAAGAATGACTTTTTCTACCTTGCGTGGGGCAGATTACAATACTTCAGACATTACAACGCATTAGTTCCCAGAACTGTTCATGCTCAACACCTTTAATAGGGAAAAAATAATTCAAGATCTGCATGCAATACAAAATGAAGGGACTTCTATCACCTCCATCCTTCAACTATTGCTGAAGTGGGCAACCTGGGAAATATAAATATAGTTTCATGGGAATAGGATTCCTGAGACCTGTATGTGAATAATTCAGCTGCACTTTCAGCATTAAAATTACTTGAGAATCATGCATGTTATCCAAGTGCTCTGTGCAGCCAGAGTAGAAAGTCAGGGACCCTAAGAGGAGGACTGATCCCACATTTTCAGACTGTCCTTGCTGCAAGTGTTGGCTTCTCTTTGCCAGCTACAGAGGGAGCCTGAATCTCTAGCTGGAATGAGACTCTAATGGTTAAATAATGCAAGTTACAATACAAGAAATACTGCTTTAAGTAAGGAAATGTAAAATGAGATATTTCACCCCTGTGACTTGTTCTAACTGCAGATCCTTTCAGCGCGTAAAATGTATTATACATTTCCTTCAGAGATTCAGATAAACTTTTGCAAAAAGCAGACTGCACCCAGTTAATTGTGTTCCCACTGAAGTCAGAATACTTTCCAAAAACCTGTCCTTGAACTCTTAACAGAATTTTGGATGGCCTTAGAAAAATAAAAAGAATGCTGACCAGTCTAAACCATACAATGAAATATTCCTTCTATCGGAGCTGTCATGTACACTTGGTGGGAACTCTCTAAGCTATAAATGTCTCATAGAAAGCCAGGTCAGGGAGAAGTATCTGATTCAGGGTATCTACCTGATGATAAAAACCATATTGCAAATTGTTTCATAAATTCCACTGCCAAAAATCTAACCCAGTATCCTAAACTCATGTGCTAGCAAATGTGCATTACTCTGGCTGCAAAGGGAGTTACCATCTTTACAAAATATTTATCTTTACTGAAATCAAATCCCAAGAAGAATCCCAGGGTGCAGAGGCAAAATGGTTAAGTTGTTAAGTATGGCCTTTTGTATGTATGAAGATATTTGAAGATCTTTGCTTCTTGGTTATTTTCTGCTTGCAAAGCAGGAGATACGATTTGCTGATGTTTTGTCCCTACACCAAAAACTCAGAAGAATTCTTTATTTAGCTTGTCATCGAAAATACAATGTCTTTAACCAATTCAAACTAATGACCGTCTACAGATGAACATGCTCAGAAGAAACTCAATATTTCTTCAATTTTTTCTTAATTCTATAATTCATAAAAACACTTACTGTTCAAAAACCAGTAAAATTTCTCCACTCTCTTGAGTGGCATTGCAAATCATGCCACTGGATAAGATTGGTTTTAATAAAAGGAGTCTTTCATAATAAATAATAAATATAAACATATATACATATATTCATATATATTTGCAAATAAATATAACCTTGTTCAGCTGCTATAATATTATTCTATATGAATGTGATAACCGGATCGTGTAAACATCTTGACAACCATTCACATACCCAGGAGGGTACAGGCCCACCCAGTCATCTGTGGGCTGATACAACCCTGTTAAGGAGATGTGATGTCGGCAGAGTCCTAATCATGTAAAAGTTTTTACCGTAAGCTTAGATGGGGGTCAGAATTCTGTGCCATTTTGGAAACAGCATCAAAAAGTGATAAATCAAACACAAATTCTCCAAACTTCAAAAATGTCATTATTGCCTACCTTGTTATGCATGTGCAGCCTGGTTTTGACTTATCCTGTGCAAATTATCTCCATGATTGTACACATCCACATAATTTAAAAGATTGCTTCCTACACTTTAATTCAAAAAATGATTCATGTGTGAAGATAAGCATTTACTTTCATCAGCATAGAGCTTTGGAGCGAAAGTATTTTTTGGCTGGAAGAGAAAGCTAGAAATACAGAACTCTTATCCTGTTCTTGTGAGATACAATAAAATTGGGATTGATCCAAAACTGTTGAAATTAATCTCATTTTGTCTTAAATTGTAGTGTTATCATATATTTCCTACTGATGAGTTTTGCCATGCTAAGAATCTAGATAAATAAGTAATTGGCAGGGTTTATCTATAATTATACCATCTGCTATGGGAACTGAGATTAGTTCAGCTCCAGCGACTTTAATTTGTAAGGTATTAAACTTTGTCAATCTGATCGTTTTAAAAATGTAGAAAAAAGCCTGTGACAAGCTGCAGGGAGCCAAGAAACCTCTGAACACCAGCCAGAATTAATCTGCCCAATAAATATTCACAACCTTTTCACAATGTATCCATAAGCAGGTAGATTTACACAAGAGTGTAATCCCACTAATTGTTCCAGCTGCTGAGCCCACAGCTATTCTCGCTGAACTTCATCACTGGAAATGTCCATCTGTCTGTGTAGACAGCTCCAGTTAGTACTTCAGTGGTACCTGCAGCCCCAGATGTTGTGTCCCTGAGGCTTGCAGCCCATCCTAGGAAGGGCAAGGCACGCATCATGCAGCTGCATCTTAACTTCCCTAGCACTGTTTCACATTTCAAGAACTGATTGAATATAGATTAATAGTGAAAATTTGTATAAAATATGCTTTGGATTTTTAAATAACAGCAGAGTGCCTATCTCTACACAAAGATTATAAAGCCTACACAAAGAATATATAAAATGAAGAATAAGCTCTTCAGCCAAAAAATTGTGCCCTCTCCTAGCCTTACACACTCCCTCACTTCTCAGAAGGTAGGAGAAAATATATGGCTTCTATCATGATCTCATCATTAACATTTTTCTTGTGTTCCCCATAGAACTGAAAAAGTTGTAATCAGCATCTCTTTTACGAGGAACTACTTCACCAAAAATACTGCATTTTATAAGACTTTGACAAAAAATAGAACATTTTGATTTCATTTGATCATTTCAGTGTTTTGTTTTATCGCAATTAAACACTTTTTCCAACTTTTTAAAGAAAAATATTACAATATTGTGGTGAAATTATACTAGCCCATTTTTAACCATCCATGTCTGTTTCTCCTAATAACTTTCCTAGTCTTGTGGTAAGCGATGTACTTTAAAAACTTTTATTTGCCTTAAATATGTGTTAACCTCACTTTCCACTTCAAAATAATAGGAAACTTTTGCCGCTACAACTGCCCCTGCAATTGTAGAAAGTTTTAAAAAATGACAGAGTATACAATTAAGATTCAGAAAATGCAAAAAAAAAAGTCTAAAAATTATTATTTTCCTAAAACTCATCATTTCAAAAGAAATGTTGTAACTTGAGAGGAGGGCCAACCGTTGATCTATTTTTTAATGTATCATATTAGCAGTCCTGCAGAGACCAGGACAGACCTTGCCCCTCAGTAGCTTGCTGCATTAAGTGGCATGTTCATTCTGTGCAACTTGTGATGGTTCAATCATTGCTTTAATTTTTCTCTTTTTGGAAAACCTGACTTATGGATTGATTTTTGAGAAAAAGTGAGCGTCATCCTGCAATAAAAACCAGGCAGGTTCAACCCCCCGCTCAGCTCTTGCCCATTGCTTGCCTCATTGTAGGATACATATTCACGCTCTCTTACTGGAGCTGCTCCAGTATCCATACTGCCTGTGCTTGTATTACACCACATGCTACATCTGTTGCATATATGTAGTGTATACAGAAATGTCTTGTTTAGGGCCTGTGTGTGCATGTGCACAAACACACAGAACATACAGTAACTGATAACTGATTCAGAGACCAGAATTTGGCCTCCTCACAGCCCAGATAAATGGCCCAGTGATGGGGCCAGGACTCCATCTCTTCCTCAGTGAATGTTTCACTGACTATGTAAGGTGAAGCAGCTTGGGAACAGCTAAGGCCCTCTGCATTTGAGTTCCTATATAAGCAAAACTTACTTAATTGTATAAACATAGCAGAATCAGTGCAACAGGAAAGTAGCAGAAAAGTCTCCTGTTTTATGCTTGCTGCTCTGGACTTGAGTCCTCCTGTCAAGCCATCTAAACTCCACAGCTCTCCATCCCAAGTTCAGGGTTTACATTACATTCTCAACTGAAACTTTTCCTTCAGAATATTTGATCAAAACTGCAGGATTCATTCCTCCAGGAAAAATAAGTTTCTCCTCATTTGGAAAACAAAAGTTGAAACAACTCTCAGTTTTTCCACAGTTGGAATTTTTAGTACATAAGCAGCCCAACTGAATTTTTGGTAGGAAGCCTAACAGAAAGAGGAAACTCCAGGGGCACAAGGCCCAGAAACACAGTGTTAGATCCCATTTTACATTCATTTGATTCTAGATCAAGTATTGCTGCACACTGCGATTACGGTAATATGTGAAAAAGAAAGGAAAAGAGATCTAGAAGTAAGAGCCTGGTCTCCTCTGATAAAAAGAATAAAATTAGCACCCTAAAATCAATGGGGAGAATACCCCAAAACACAAATCAGAGCAACAAGCTGTTCTCCTGGAACAGAGTAAAAGGTAGTCCTACACATACGAAGTGTAGAAGCACATATGAAGTGCTATTGGAGCTGTTGTTTACTAAACACAGTATGAAAATTATTTTGCACCAACTGGTGAAGGGAGAGTTATTCCTACCTTTGGCATACCACTAAGCCTTTTTCCTCCTTTTAATTACTTATGTCAGAATTGACAGTGATTTAGCTTACATATGTATGCAACCCAATTCAGATCTTAAATCTGCTTCTTATTACTGAAGAAGTAAATGTTTCATGTCTGCTTGCTGTTTTTTACTTATAGGTGAAAAAGTCTACATTATTGCCTATTCCTCCTGCATAGTTCTCATCCTAGGAATAGTCCTGTTGATTCTCCTCAAGATCAGGTAATTTGATAGGGATATTAATCATTGGTTCTAGGAAATTGGAAAAGCAGAAAATAAAATGTTTTGACTTAGTTAAGAGGTTGGCACCGCGATTGTCTTTAAAAACAGTTCGGCATGCCCCAGTGATGGAAAGAACTGACATTGCGGGTGTCAGCAGGGAGGAGTGAAATACGATGCGTATCTACAATGCCCTCCATTCATGCGGAGATCCCAGGCTTCGGGAGGTTTCATTTCCTGTCCCATGGCAGGGGAAGGTGAAATCTGAATTCAAAAATTCTGTGAGGCTACCTTCCTAGCCCTGTAGCAGGCAGAGGTAATGCGGAAAGGAAATGAGAACATTCAGCATTATAACATGTTTAGAAACTGAATCGTGAATGCTGCTATTGTAGTTAATATTGTTGCCAAACGCCATTTTTGTTGATCGGGTTCTGTAAATATTCTCCCCCACACAGCATGAGAAAGTGCCCATACACCAGCGCTTGGTAAGAAAACAGAAATGTGCATTCACTTAGTCAAATGAACATGGCCTTTTCCAAAATGATACATTTTCTTAGACCAAATTAAATGGCCAGATTTCAAGAATTACACTGTCAGATGATAGGTAACAGAACATGATGTAGCAGGAGCTATATATAGTGGGAGGGATATGGAGTCAAATTTCATTATTAAATTCAGAGGCAGATCAAAGAGGAATCATGCAGAAAAATGCAAGAGGCAAGTCAAGGATATATGGGAACAGAGACTTTCTCTTTAGGTTTGCAGTTGCAGGAACATCAGCATATAAATAAAACTCAGATTTAAAGAATACATGGAATGGAAGAAAGAACAGTACATTAATAATGGTGAAGGGAATTATTTCATACCACAATGTTCATCATAAAAAGAGGGAAATTTTGCCACTGATTTCAATTAAGCCAAAGTTCAGACCAAACGTTGTATAGTTTATTGTTAAATACATGCACATTCTTTGTTTTCAGAGCCTGCAGAACAAAACATGAGTCAAGAAGTCCCTCGCCAGACCATTCTTCTGAAACATTTATGGTCCATTATAAAAGTCACAGATGAACTACTCTGTTGCTTATGCTTTTTAAGGCTATTCTTGAAAGCCAGCCTGTTGTACATAGGGAATAATGAAATATATATTAGAAAACCTACTATAAATTACAGAATTTTGTAGTTGAGCACACAAAAGATTTTTATATTTATTAACACATCTTAAACCTTTCACAAGCTTAAAAAAAAAAAAAAAAAAGAACTGTATTTACAGATCTGTCCTGAGCTGCACATTTCCTACATCTTTAGATGCACACGACAATGGTATAAATGCTGTATCAGCATGAATCTGCCTAGCAGTGGCAATCTTTGAAATCCACCCTTCTGATCTGAGCTCCTCTGGCAGAAAGGAAGAAAATCCACTCAGAAACATCTTAGAGAGCTGTTAAAAAGTACATATGTAGTGGTCTTGTATGCTAGGTTCCCAGGTACCAAGGACCTGACACGATATCTGTGAGGCAGCAGTCACAGGTAGGCTGCCTGTAGTCTGATGCTGGAGCAGTTGGTGGGGTAGGAGGATATCAGGATTATAACCCCTTTGAGTACGATGAGGGATTAAACTCTGGCTCTCTGGGCTAATGCTTTGACCCTAGTATGTTGTTGCTGGAACTGTTTTTTCTTTCTCTTTCAATACGCTTCAGAAAAAGAAACAAGTGAGCCTTGCCAGTTTGAATATAGTAATGTTAGAAAGCATTTTCTGGTCTGAATGCCCAGTGGAGAGAGCCACTTACTTGGGGCTGAAGTGCCTGCTTCTCAAGAGGGAAGTGATGACCCGTCTCATCATCTGTGTTTCCTATTCATTGTCTCTAGGCCATACCCGAAGTGCCTAATTCTCCCCGTGCACTGTACTGGGAGTCATGGTCCCTAACACACCACTCTGGATCCCACTTTCTGGCTATGAGTTCTGGATTTCTCCCTGTAGCCGAGTTGTTTTGCTAGATTTAAGCTTCTATTTACCAGCAATCAGTTGTCTTTGTTATCTTTGTAACGATCTGGTTCTGGTCAGCACACCACAATGGACTGGCATTTATTATACAAATGTTACCGAGAGCAGTATATGCATTGCCTTGTTATGATAGCATCTGATGAATTAATTTTATTTTGAATTTGATTAATTTTAATTTTGTATGAATTTCCACTAAATGTAACTCACACAGCAAACAGTACCAGGAAGGAGATACCGGTTCCACTGATTTCAGCCCCAGTTTTGACCATGGCTGATTCAGATCTAGGGCTAGAAGTTTATGAAGTGATCAGAAGAGCAGGAATCTCTACTCTTCAATGCAACTTTTGCTTATGGCTTTGGTAGCTTGTGAAATGGTTTAGCGTGAGCGCAAAACCTTAGGTGTGCAGTTCTAACGGGGAGAGTTTTAGAAATTTTTAACAACTATTACAGTATGCATTTTCTCTTTCTTTAGGATCTGCACAAAACCAAAAATTCCTTCTTGTTTTGCAACCAAATTCTATCTCATTACTAAATCAGCCTTTGGACCAAAATACAACAGAAAAGTGCAAAGTTGGTTAGTCTGATAATCAAAACAATCTCCTTTATCACTCCAAGCAATTTGCAGCATTTAGTTTACCTCCTACCATGTAGGTATTTCGGAAGTAGTGTATTAATATTCTTCATCTTAAAACTGTGAAGAAGCAAAAGTTTAAACTGCAAATACTGTTGAGAATATGTTCTAATCAGCGTTGGACGAAAACAATTCTTTAGATAGGAAATACAGATCTGAAGTGAACCCTGTGTTGGGTCTCAGTCTGACTTCAAAAACAATGATGCAATGCTGAACCCTCTGTGTCACAAAATTTGAAGAGATCTGTTTATGTTCAGATTTAACTAAACGTCAACCATAAAAACATCTTTTGCAAATTTCTGTCTTATAAACTTCTTGCTTTCTAAATATCTTCTGTTTAGATACTAGGAGCTCCACTCATATATGTGCTTAAACACACACACACACTCACACACACACAAGTATGTACAGTGCATGTGAAACAGGGCGAGCATGTGAGTTACTCTGAAAGACAGCAAGATACTTAGTGGCTATTGTGTTGCTTCTGTAATTTTACAGGCTCTCTTCATTAGGGCTGACTTTAATGCTTAATGGAACAGTACATTTCCTCCATTATACATGTCAAATGTGTTCTTTTGGTTTGTATTTCCTAGTGACACTGTATTCTGTCAATTGTATCTAGGCATTAATTATTAAATAAAGGAATTTCTGCTGGGATGATCTGTATTCAAGTGATCATGATTAGACTAACTGCTTCACGAACAGTTTCATCATGGAAGAAGTAGTATCTTTTTAAGAGCTTCATCATTAAAATGTTTTCCCACGAAGATGATCCACAGAGGTCCCTTCCAACCCTTACCATTCTGTGATTCTGTGATTCTGTGATTCTGTGATTCTGTGAAGAGAGACATCTGCACCTAGTCCCCAGCTGAGGAAAATTAAGTCTTACTGCTGGTTTGGGATTCCCAGGACATAGGTAATTTTGGGTAAGGTTGTGGCATTCGTGCCCCTTTCCACTGGAGGGGGGAAGATTGATTGGGCTAGAGGGAGAAAGAGTAAATTTTAGCCTTGTAGCACTCTCACTTGCAAAGGTGAATACTGGGTTCCAGTTTTTTAATATTGTTTATGTAGTTTATCTAAAGATTGTTTCATATTAATTGTGTAAAGAGTTTTTGAGACAAGCAGGACTAGCTATTCCTTATGCAGTACTGATGCTACAAGGCTGTAAAGTCCAAGTCTCCACTTCCCGTCTTGCCACAGTGAAACTTGAATTCTTCAAATAGAAGATTTTCCTCAGCCATCTCACCTGTTCGTGAGGCGAGAGAATGGGCTGTTTGGAAAGGCAGGTTTGGACTCAGCCTTTTCAGGCTGTTGTGGGAATCGCATCCTGGTCCTCTGAGCCAGATGTCAGATCAAGCTAGTAACAGAGAAGATGGACAGAAGCAGCACCAACACCATCCCCAAGATTGTGCCTTAAAAGAGTGAACACCATTCAGTTTTTCCAGAAAAATTACTGTGGATGTTTTTCCACCAGGGAAAATACTAACTGTTGGATGCAAGCTGGTGAAGATAACTAATTGCAGCTCATGTTGAGGCACTTCAATGGTAACATGGGGTAGGGAATTTCACTGTTGACTTTTCCAAGAAAGTTCCCCTATCAACACGCTGATGTTTCAGACCACATGCTGAAGTCACTCAGTCTCCCATGAAGTGTGTAGGGGGTCTTAGACATTACTTAGAGGGCACAGACTTCTACTTTGCAGTGCAACATCTGAAGTGAGATAATGCCTCATTGCATTTTTCGACTCCTACCTCCATTCCTGGCTGTAGCTTCTAATGTTCAGTTTATGGAGAGAAGAAATGTTTCCCTAGTAACTTAGCAGAGATTTGTCAGCTATAAAAGCACACAGGAACAACTGATAAAAAGGTAATCCTAAGAAAAAGCACTCCAAATGGATTACGATGTAACAAAGTCAACACTGGCGCACATGTCAGGGTGGCAGCCTGTATTTACTCATGCCGTATGCATGAGCGGGTTCGCCAGAGCTGCTGAATCTGGTGTAATACATGAGCATATCCGTTTCAGTAAACACTGAGACAGATTTTATTTCAGCTTTAACACTGCATATTACAAAATCACAGATTCATTTAACCAAGAGGGTACATGACAATTCCTTAACAAACATATCATCTCTTTGACATCCGGTTCAAAGGACTAAGTTGACTTTGGCTGTAGTCCTCCTGCCTGCTGTGTTATTGCAGCAATGAAGATCAACACTGTGTTACTGCAGGACTGTAGAGAAAAATAATCTTCAAACATATCACATAACAAAAGAAAGCACTGATCAGCAAGTCAAGAACTGGAAAGCAAGTGTCTTTCAGTTCTCCAGACTGATTCTTCTGTTCAGTCAGTTCTCTAGACATTTCACAATCAATAAAGAGAACTTAAGGCAGTCTGAGCATCATACAAAAATTCAGTGGTAAAGAATCCTCATTTTCAGGTATTACAGTAACTGAAGAATATTTCTATCCCTTAAAAATAACTCTGTGAAAAATAAGCAGATCTTACATGTTCACACTAACTCTTTGGAAAAGTACAATTTCATTGCCACAGCACTGACCCCAAACATAGGAATTTTACCTCACAGACTTGCAGTCTTCATTTTGTGACTCCTGATTACAATAATGAAAGTTTTATGGACTTAAATTATGCTATTAAGAAACCAAAATTAGCCAAAGCCTTTCGGACTTATTCACAAGATCAGAATATTCACTTCTTATTTCCATAAACTCTGGTTATACATGGAAATGAAACATTAAAGTGCTGGTCCAGAGCCAAGTTGCCTTAATACATAAAAGTTTAAACTACAAAGCAAGCTGCTGCTGGAAGACATTAGCGCTATCCATGTACGGAATCAACGTCATTGCTGTCTTGTGAAAGGCACTGAAGAACAATTATGCCCATAACTAACGGAACTGATCAACTTCTCATCCAAAAAATCACAGCAGCCATGTTTTTAGAACAATGCAGTATCTCGAGCAGCCAAACAAGCTGGTATTTGACTTTTCTATTGCCAACAACATGGGAAAAACTACTATGAAAGTACTGAAGAAAATTCCAGCAACTTGACATGGGTCAGCTGTCGAATATTCACAGAGTAAGACCAGGGCCAAGACTGAAGGCTGCCCTGGGAACTCCAGTTTACGTATTCCATGGCCCTGGCTCAAGTAAGATGATCTCCATGCTGCTCTGTGAGATCTCTGCAGTGACTTTGATACAATGAGCCACAGAAGAACGTCTCCAAGCACAGAAGTACATATCTTGGTACATCTAATAGAAATGAATTAATAGTCTAATAAGACTGAGAGAGGGCAGCCAATAACTACTTCTCTCCTGCATGCTCTCAGAGTTCATGCTATCCCCTTTTCAGCATTTACTGAGGACCATCAGCAAAACAGGCAGGGAGAAAGCATGTCCCCACATCCCAACAGTGTTATCATGATAGCACTCCATTGCTTTTTCTTGATACCTTTCAACAAATATATATACATTATTATACTGACGTAGTAATAGGAACATGGGTTCATGGAAGCTAAACACCTGGATGCAAGCCATCCGCAGCCAGAAGGTTACTTCAGGGTGAAGTGACAGCACAGTGGGGGACACTGACAGAGATTAATGAGCAAGCATGTCCAGTGGTGAGTTACTCTTAATATAAGCATTAAGATTTAGAAATTCAGAAGCACTGGAGGCAGTAGCACCTTTCCATCACTTACAGTTCTCGCCATGTTTTTGAAGGGATGTAGTCTCAGCTGCTTTATTATGTGTTGAACTCCATGCTGCCTATGTGAGTGATACATGCTCATGGCACAGCTACTGGATTAGCCCTTGCTCTTAAGGGTAATATATGCCTATTTTGTGAAGCCAAAGATTAGGCGTAAAAATGGTCTGCATAGTCAAAATGATGCCAGCCCAGGAAAGCAGAGTAGCAGCACTTTATGTGCCTAACAAATTTTAGTAGTGAGAACATGAGATGTCTCGGGATTCTCAGTCACATTACAAGTAAAGGAGGGTTTTGTGGGGATTGCTTACCTGGACTCACAGGCCAAAATTCATCCCAGGTGGCACTTTTGGCACATAAACGTTGGGGTTTTTTTGAAACCAGCTTTATGTTTCTTCCTCCCCTGTAACGACCCTGACAAACAATCTATTTGTCTGTGACCTCCACCCTGGATTACTGTAACTCACTATGTGGTTGAAGCTGAATGTGTGGGTAAAGCATGAGCTCCAGATGTGACTGCTCATCTTTTCCAATGCTCACATCATTACAGAATAACAGACCTGCATCTAAGGCTCTCCACAAGCTCCCAAGTAGTTTCTAAAACAGACCTAATAAAGAACTGAGGCATTTTAGGCTTTTCATCCCCATGATTTAATAGGTTCTCTGTTTCAGTGCATAGGGACTGTAAAGACCCTCAGAACTGCAAACTGGACAGCCCAGATGCTGAGAAGCCTAGGATGCACAACGCACAGAGGCATATCTGAAAACTCCTCCAGAGTGTAAGGGTCTCCCAGTGTCAAACTTAGCAATCCTTCATGGTAGTTAGGAACATAGATGTCTAGAACTTCCAAAGAACTGAGAAAAACTAGCTCTTTTATTCTATAGTCTATGTTCTACATAGGTATTTTATTTAACACAAAAGTTGCGGTAGTGGTGAAATCGCTCACTTCTCAGACGTTCTAGTTAGTATACTTACAAAAAAATATGGACAGTATCAGTTCAGTTCCTACCCTGGCCTATAGTTGAACCCCTCATCACCATCTTCAAGGAAAAAAAACCTTATCTGTTGCAGAGACAGTTTTTCTTGTTATCTTTGTCGTCTCAGGAATTTTGAATTCCCTCTTGCCCACAGGCACAACTTCATCCCGACTTACTACAGTGTTCTTTTTCAGTTCTGTGTATAGCCTAGTGGTTAGACCCATTTATTAGGATACAAAAAAACGTGCATTTGAATCTCCTCAGGCTAAGTAGCAAGCTAATCTCAGATCAGTTTCTTCGTCCCACATTCAGGCTAGTATTTAAAGGCAGTCTGCATCACAGCTACTTTTTTTTCAAGGGGTGACTTCACTTTCATTCTGTGAGAAGCTCAGTCTTGCTCATGTCAGTTAAACTTGCTCACAGGATCTTGGCTCGAAGAAACTTCATCAGGCCCTACATGACAGCTGCACACTTCAGCTCAAAATGAGCTATATCTGTGCCAGCACAGAAGCAAACTAAAGAGGAAATTTTATTGTTAAACAGTAAAGTATTATAGAGTGGCTAGTCACCTTCAGGGGTAAATGGCATCGGAGTTAGGCAGTCCTTTCCGGCACCTCGTTTAGGCTTAACTACTACTTATTAGACTAAGTACAACCTAAGTACTGCTGCAGATTCCTCACTTCTTCATTGGATCTCACCCATTACAGAATTTTGAAATCTGTGAAAGGTTCAAGACACAGTTTTATTAAAGTTTGTGTTTTTATATATTAGCTGTAATGGCTGCAAAATAACAAAGCCCCAGCTGAAATATGGGAAAATGAGGACAGAACATTTTCTCTGGTGATCCAACTCTCCATCCAGAGCAGGCCAAGCAAATCAGGGGGTTCATGTCTTTAAGCGTACTTGAAAGTCTTCTCACTTGATACCACGGGAAGGGGTGCAATTTAATATTTTGCATTGATAGGCAAGAAATTTCCTGCCTCACTTAAACACATTTCTTTGATATTCTTTGCCTCTTGCCATGAGAAGAGTGAAACAATGAAGCTTATATTGGTTTTGACTATCATCACAGCGTAAAGAGGATAGAGGTTTTATATCAAGTTCCTAGCTTTGCGTTACCTGGCATGCAAAATTTGACTTCCTTAGCCGTGCCAATTATTCTAAACTACAGTACTGGCTAAAAGATCTCAGAAAGGGTTCACTTCAGAATTTGAAAGGCAAGCTGAGACTCAGCTGTAACTTGGCAGGGTTGAGTTCCAGACAAAAACAATTCAACCTTTTCTTTCTTCACATATTGTCTTCCACTTTCTTTCGTCTTATCTTTTTCCAACCTTTCATATCTTGGAGGAAAACAGAGAATATGGAAAACGGTCATAGTCCAGGGTTTTGGACTTTCATGGTAACAGGCTATTTTCAGAAAAAATCCAGGTTAAATGCACAGAGAATTAGAGAAGGATCCTACACAAACAACCAATAACAGCACTAATGTTTCAGACTGAAAAAATGATAATATTTTCATGGTGCATTTGAACAGCTTATAGAAGGGATAAGGCTCTTCTTTGAATTTGTCCGTTACTGATCTAAAAATGACAATGTAGTTCACTGGCATCTTGCTGAACTAAGACATTGAAAAGTACAGTGTCACTATCAGTACAGTACAAAGAAAAATTGTAAGTGGTTCCCTTCATGTAAGCTATTCCAGCAGAATATTATTATCCTCAGAAATTCATGACTTGCAAGTGAGAATGTCAATTCATAGATTATAGATTTAAAAAATCAAATGTTTCTGTAAGACTGGACAAAAATTTAGCCCCTTCCACATTACTCTATCCTGAATGATGATTGAAAACCTTGCCAATTTTTAATTGTTTCATATAATTAGGTTTTAATACAGTTGAGGAAAAAAGCAACTACAACAAATTTAACATATGTAACAAATAAAGAAATTTGCATTAGATTTGGAGGATCTGGCAGACTGCCATTCACCACAAAGTCTTGGAACAAGATAAAGTCATCCATATACTTAACAGATGTTAAACAAAACAAAAATAAAAAAGTGCTATTGCTAAAAAATTCTTCTGGTGAATTCAGATTTGGCTCCATGTTCATAACACAACTGACTTAACAAATTAAAAGTAAAGATTCAGATAAATAAAACACATAATAGAATGGCCACACACACAGTGTGGGATCTCATAAACTACTGCCAATATTCGTACAAATCTAAAAGTCATCTTGATTAAAAATCAACTATGTATGTGCTGCTTCTATTCAGTTTCCCTGAAAAGAACAAAAATTCAGTTTAAAACATGGTAAAATGTCTTTGTGTTTATACGTTTTCCTCATCTGTAGAACTACCAAGCACAGGGTTCTGAACTACAGTCATTTATTTCTTACTTACAAATCAGACAATTCTTGACAAGACAGTACAGTACAGTATCTCTTCCCATAATAAAAAGTTACATATGGGTTCTATTTTGGTTCTTTCCTGAAACAGTTTTCTTATATTTGTTTTCTTGTCATAAATGTCCTTGGCAAAGACAGATGAAGTTTCCAGCTTCCATCACTGTGTAAAGATTTACTCCCTAAGAAAGAGATGAAAAATGTTAAGAATAATGAATGCACATGTTGCAAGGTTTTTTTCTGCAGGGTCTATTTTTTGCTAACAAAGGGCCTGATTTATGTCATAGGTTGGTAATGGAGATCAGTAGAGTTGCAGTGACTTACACAATAGTCACAGATTCCAGTTGTTTGGAAGGTTCTACTGCTTTGAGGGTGACTTCTTATCCTAACAGCAGTAGACTGAATACTCTGATGCTATCTTTGAAACTCAAAAGAATCTGGGATAAAGAACTGGTATAAGAACTTGAAAAAACTGGAAGAAAAATATAATGTCTACTTAATGTGCTGTACTTATTTATCACCTAAAGCTAAGAAACTTCATGCTTATAAGTATCCCGTTTGCTCAGGAAAATGGAAGAAACACACTTGTATTGGGAACTGAGTTCAGTGAGAAACAGGATCCTGCATTCTCTTGAATAAATATAATCTCCTTCTTGAAGACGCTCCTTTCAATGCAAAATTACAATTTGCGTTGCTAGCAAAACAGCAAAAATTTGCAGCTGTTTGATCTGCCCTTGCTAAAAAAATGTTCCTTGAGAAAGCAACTGTTTGTTAACTAACTTAAGATATATATCAGAGCGGCTTGATTGCTAAAATGAAATCAGATCACTGATCAAAGAGGAAAAAATACTGCATTATTAGTCTCCTGGATTACTCATGGATAGTAAAAGTTTTAGACTTAGATCTCATAAGTCATGTAAGCATTCGCTCCAAAGATCAGAATTCAGAAGCCAGTAAAGTTCCTATAGAAGGGAGGCGAACAGGAACTTTAAACCACCAACACACGGAGCAGTCACCCAAAACTGGGAGAAGTGTGTCACTCGACATTTAAGAGTACAAGATGTATTGCACCAAAAATACACTTTTATAACACTTGTGGATTTATGCACTAAAGTTCAGACCAAGATTTAATTTAGATGCTTAACCCTTTAATTGAATTTAGCACTTATTTCCATGTTCTATAGTAAACTTTGCCTCTTTCATTCCTGGAATTGGCTAAAAATGTGAATGAGAACAGAAATTACTTCACGGAAATGTAATCAAAAACATTTTTAATTTGAAAAAAAAAATGCTTCGACGTTTCCAATCAGCTCTAGTACATAGTACCATCTAAAACACGTTGTTCAAAGACACCTTTTTATAACTGTCTCATTTTAATACAGTTATAACAACGGTGATTTCAGCTCTTTCTGTTTATCCTTTACTGGTCTTTGCTTAGGCTCAGTTTGTAGAATGCTATTGCACATAACGAAATCTAAAATATTCTTCGAGCATCTGTGCTTTTTTACTAGGAAGAAATGAGAAACACACCAGCGTAGGCAAACTTCATAGTTACATTATGGAATACGGCAAACTAAAAACCCTAAACTATACAAAATACACATTTCCAGTGCTGTAGCACTGCATAATGTGATATGTGTTGATAAGAAACATATGTTCACAATTCATATTCATTAAATGGAATACAAACATCTCTGCCTTTTACATTTTCTTTCTTCTGTAAATGTCGTGAACAAAAGAGGATTACCACGAGGGTACAAACCCCATCATTCACAAGCATGACTCATAGACGGGGATGGGACAAAAGTAGTGACAGGTGTTTGTAAGGCTGTTGAGTCAAAATGATATGTCTTCAGATAGATACTCAGAAAGGTACTTAAGTGTACTTGGTAACCACTCCATATATCGAGAATTATTCCTTGACACCAAGGAATGAAACCACGAAACACAAAGACAAGTATCTCCAACAGTATCTATGAACTTGGATAAGTGCCTTAAGGCAGAAAACTTCTGTCAGAAGGCAAAGTCCTTTAACTCCCATTGACTTCAATTAATCAGTTCTCATTCAGTATTCATAAATACCAAGTCTATTATGTCTCTGAACTTTAGTTTCCGTGTCAGTAATGAGAGGCTAACAGCACTTAGTTGCTTCTCAGAAAAGCTTATTGTTTGCCAAGCACTTTGAAGGCATCACAAGCATAAGCACTATCACTGTAATTACAAAGGAACCATATAGAAACTGTTTTTATAGAAAGTATGTGTCTCCCTACAAAGTTTCGTAAGCATTAATGATATATGACGTAATTATCTGTCCATTACCATGGTACAGCCAATAAATGTCTTTGTAGATGGGCTCTGCTAGAAAATTATTTCACATTTAGTCTGCTGGAGATTCGTTTCATACATCACTTCTTGGTTACGTGATCTGAAGAACAGTATAGAACAATCATTAGTTATTATTGTGATGTATCTAGTCAATCTGAACTCAATAATGCACGCTTAAATACTGTCCATCCTTTGGTTGACAGCTTCAGTGACTTCAGTCAACAACATGAAAGCTTTAGTGCATAGCTGAGAGGAAGATGGGAAAGCACTCCTTGCAAAAGGACAGCATTAGCAATTATAATTTCATTTTGTGCCATTACACAAAAAGGGGCATATTAATGGATTTTTGCAAAAGTGATTTTACAGAATTGGCCATGGTACCAAAACCAACCAACACTACAAAGATGAAAACTCATATATTAAGGTAATAATCTTGAGGCTCTGTGTCTCTCATCCAGTAAACCACTCTTTTCTTAATGGACCAGCAAAACGTCAAGAAGAAAAGCCTTGTGTTTTGCTATAGTATAATCTAAAATTAAAAACACAAAAGGAGAACAACGTGCTTGATGGTGAGCTTCTTATCTCCATGGGATTTACTATCAACCTTTAGGACAAGCTAGATGAGTGCTTGGACACCAGATGGTTAACAGATTAATAAATCTTATCAAGAAGCCTGGAAAAATGTATATTTCATTTAATCAGGATATTTTTATTAAATTTATTCCTTTTCCTACCAGTCAATTGGAAAAGTCAATGAGTATTTTGCCCAAGGAAAGACTAAACGGAAAGCCTAAGTCTAAGGTGCACAACAATGTAAAGTGAAATGCATGATTTCTTCTTATTCCAAAGAATCGTGTTGTTTCAAAAGTATAAGCACCTTCTTCATGAAAAATAGCCACCCCAAAGCACATACGAACAGTTCGAAACAGAGTCTACTTATACAATGAACACCTGCGATTAAACCTTTTCTAAACAGGTATCGGACATCTACCCAGAACTCCCCAAGAAGCACATGAAAGCAGATAAACATTACAGTGAACTCTGTAAGGTACTGAATATGCTCTAACAGTGCTCAGGGGATGTACAACTCAGAAACAAGTTCCATGATCCTTTTCTGTCAAGGAACTCCGTTGGCAAGTATGCCACACCGAACTGCAACCTACAGACAAGTGATAAGCTCCCCAGTGACTCAGATCTTTCTGTTTCAGACATCAGGCTTTTCAACTTCTTTCTGCAGTAGTTCAAATGCAAACCACAAACGTTGCAGTTTTGGCGGCTCTTTATGTGTTCCCCTTTGAACTTGACTCTCAAAGTCTATGTCTAAGTTAAAGGTAAAGTCACTGTATTGCTTGAGTTAGTACAAACTCATTATGTCACATTTCCAGAGCAATGATGACCAACAAGAAGACCAAAGAGCATATTCTTGGGAGAAGGCAGCATTACTTTGTTCCCAGGAATACAGAATAATTAACATGCCAGCCAAGCCAGGGATACTCAGTGTGTGCTCTTGAAGTGTAGGTGCTCACTGGTGAGGTTCACTAAAGAGCAGCTCAGTGCAGATCAGCTGCTTTGTCCTCTCCTGCAAGAACAGGGCTGGAAATAGAAATGACTGTGAAGTCTGCTAGCCGGTAACGGATTTTGTACAATTTTGGAATATATTATGTGGATACCTGAGAAATAGCAATGCCCTGTGTTTGGGCTCCAAATACCACAATTTTTTTCTACTTTAAAGCCAGAAAAACTGACAACAAATTAATAAGCACTATGAAACAAATCCGAAGCTCTGTGAAAAAAGTGGAGGTCCGCTCAGCCTTTCCACTGAAGAGCTGATCAGCCTGCTGGAACAACGTCTACAGCAGTGATGTTTTTGTGATTACTGAGGCAGAGCAATGACTCAAAGCAGTTGCCACTGAGCTTCTCATAGCTTCAGGTAGAGAGACGGGGGTTAATCAAATTCCTGTCAAATGTGCAACTCTACATTGCTAGTGAAGACAACATCATTCACGTTATGCATTGAGCCATGTTAAAGCTCTAAGTTTGCAAAAACTGTTTTCTCCCAATATTTTATTGTACAGCACAAGTAATCGTCAGGTATGTATCTCACGTTTTCTAGAAAAGTATTTTTGTTTTCCTTAGTGTCTTAAGTAAAAAGTAAGATTATCTTACTGTATTGATCCCCAGACCATTAAGCATGTATACCACATCCTCTGTGGCTACATTTCCAGTAGCACCTTTTGCATAGGGACAACCACCCAGTCCCGCAACAGATGAATCCACTACAGCAACTCCCATCTGGAAGATAACAACACAAGAATGCAGTATCAGCACAGAGTATTATTTATAATTATTCTTAAACAGCAGGCTATACATATTAATTACCATGGATAAAATACACATTTCTCCACAAATGGATGTGTTCCTTGGAGGAAATTGCTTACAATGGCCTTACTCCTGACATCTTTATAAGGTAAGAGTCTTCAAACACAGGATGTGGACCAGAGAACTAACAGTCCATTACGTGTGATTTTGACAGATAAGATGATTGCTGTTTTAGAGCCAAACAGAGGTTTATGTTTTTTCTCTCTTTATCTCTCTACGCATTGTTTTTAAATAGCCTGCAACTATTCCTGCAAGGGCTTACATGCAACCAAACACAATCAGTGTGTTTATACAAACGTATAATTTTAAGCATATGTATAAGTCTTTGCAAGTTGGAAGTCTTAATACTAGCATCTGACTTATGCGTCATCCAAATGATTTTGTGACATCTACACTCTAAAATGTGTTTTGTATTAATGGCTATTCTTCCACACAGAACGTACCAAGCATTTTCTCTCTTCTAATTTTCTTTTCTTTCCTCTTTATTAGACATCATGAAGCTAGCATGTAAATAAATTTTTGTTCTTGTTTTAGAGGAAGACTACATGATGTTTTCACCTAAAATTGAACACCACAATGTAAGGAAGAATTACATTTTGGCAAATGTTAAAAAGTTCATGGGTTGAAATCAACTGCAAATAAAAGTTTAAAGAACTTTATCCTGGTGGAGCTGACCCTTTATGTATCATATTCACCAGTCTAGAAGAAAACACAACTCTCAACATAGTAAATTTCACACCCTAGAAGTCCTGGAGCAGCATTCAAAAGTCTTATCTTTAAGATGTTTGGAATAACTGAATAGCTTGGATAGCATGAAAATTCTCCACAGATACAGGTTCTGAGCTTTACTCTGAATATTTTTAAGGGGATACCTGGTGCACAATGTTAAGCTTTCTCATTTAAATTAAGTCTTGAAAAAACACTCAGCTGTCACAAATTCATAATTCTCCAACTTTTGTCTTCTTCCTACTGCATCCAAGTGCCTTCTCTCTCCTGATCCTCTGTCAGTATATTCATGATAAAAAAAGTAAACCGCTTACCAACTCTGCCCACCAGAGAATATTAAATTTCCTATGGGATAAAGCCTTCCCTGGAAAACTGGTCAGGGAGGGAAAAAACCTGAGCCTGTGATTTTCACTGATTTGCTTAGTGAGCTCTTGCACCCTCTTCTTTCTGTGATTAGATTTTCAAATAACGCTGAAATTGGGAAGCATTTTTTTCTGCTATAACATGTTAGGTATGTGATCCAGGACACTGGGTCTCCCTTGTCGGAGAAAGCACTTCAGTGTTCCCCTTGAAGAAGATTAGATGCCTTCGGAGGCATTCAGGCTCTAGAGATAATCAGAGGCAGGCAATGGTATTAGGCAGAAAGGTCATCAGGTCTTCAAAGACACCGGCTTCTCTCTACCTTAAGCATACTAGAGGCTTCTCCTCCCCCTATGGCTAATTTAGGCAGACATACACCGAAAGTTTAGAAGGAGAAGTCAGGCAGACTGAATCAGAGTGCATAGACAGCTAAAATTCAGGACAGGAGTTTCTGTCCAGAGATAAGTTTTCAAAACTCCAACTCTGACTTCGGGTCCAGAGAGATTCAGAGGTTAAACCATGCCTCTCACTCACATTTGCAAGTCAGTAAGATCAGCTTAGAGGCCTGGATGCACAGAGAGCTGATTTCTGTTGCTCTCCTTCTGAGGGACCTACAGGTCCCCGCAGGCTAGGCTAGGAGCCTAGGCTTCTCCTTCACAGCCATGCATACAACCAGCTGGCAAGGTAGGCAAAAGATGATGTCCTACATGTTGCAGTTGCTAAGTCCCTCATCTGAATGATTAGGTGTTTTTTTTTTTTTTCGTTCTGAAATAAACCTCCCTAATGTTTTGTTGTATTTGTTGCTAGTTTTAACAGTGCTTTTCATAGTTTTGTCATTGGTCTTACAGGCTCTGAAGTTCCAACATTTCTGGAGGGAAATAATAAAGAACAATCCAATGACGTGATGTCCCAGGTCCTATTCTGAGACAGGGAACATTATCATGAGCTAGGTAGCTGCTCAAAGCCTGTAATAAAGACCTCAAAGGAGCCGAGGTGCGTAACTGTGACAGGCAAGACAGTACTGCTTAACATTGCTCACACAATGAGACTCTCTAAGAACGGATATTGTACTTTAAAGTACACTAACCTGTGGATTATGGAGTGAATCACCAAAGTACCTTTCACATTTCAGTCACTTGTCACACACTTTGTATGTGTAACCCACCGGTCGGAAAATGTGTTATACAATACATCTGTGCCCAATACACAGGGAATATGCATTTATGATACCTTTCAACTGGAAATTCTGACTCTTTTTGCACTAACTTCTAAGATTCATACATTTACTCTGCAAGTCATTGCTTCAAGATCCACAGTGGCAGCTTTCAGGCTTGCAAGTGTCCCTGCAGAAACATACCTAATGCTTCTTAGTAGAAAGGTATGGTGAAGGTCTGGGCAAGAAAAAAGGGTGATTAACATGTAGATGTGCTGGGATGATACAAGCATGCAACCCACTACCACATCTGCTATCTGAGTCTAATTTAAGATTTCCATCAGAAATTACTGTTTCAGAGATGAAAAGGTAGAAGAAAGTGTCTTTCACGGAGTTTCTAACCCAGCTATAAGGTTATGTCATAACCGCTAGAGCATTCTTCTTGATGTTCAGTACCTTCTACATGGGGACAAAAGCTATAGGCAAATAATGTGCTGAGGTACATCACGGCTGTTACACTCCCAAGGGAGATCAACAGACTCAGAAACAGATTTAGTAGCATATAAGCAGTCATTTTCTAACCCCAGTGAATAATCTCATGAAATGCTTGTCCTTGTGCAAAAGCAGCAAAAATATCAACTAAATTGTATTTGGTGAAAACAGTCAGAAAAAATTTGCCAGGTCAAAGCCGGGAGAGCCTCTCTGGTGCTTCACAGGGCCTTCACTGTGAGAAAAAAACAAGAAAAAATACGCTGCCAGCATTAAAAGGGTGTGTCTTCCAAAGGCATTGGATATACATACATATGAATTTCTTGATATGCCTCTGTAAACACTTGTGATGCCACCATAATTCTTCATTTGCAGTGCACGTCTTGTAACACTGGGGTACATGTTGCTTACTATTATCTGTTGAAAGTGTTTGTGAGTACTTGGAGGGGTATGGGATACCACAGCTACACGAAGGTAACATGAAATACCTATCTTTGTCTAAGCCCTTCCTAGCAGTCTCAGGCAGCTTTGTCTAAGTTAATTCAGACTACCTCCACTGGAAGCTGGAGTAAGCTGAGTCAATTTAGCCTAATGTAGATCCAAGAGCATAAAAAATGATGCCTTCTGCTGGCTAAGCAGTGGGAGCAGTAACCTCCAGATGACGGATGCTGATAATTGCTATGTCTTACAAATCGTCAACTATTATGGCTAAACAGAATAAGGAGAAAGTCTAGTCACAGCTTTACATTGGTGTGGTGACTTTCATCCTAGCACAGGGCACTTAAACCATTACCTCCCAGAAGTAGTGTATAAACATGTTTATCTCTCTGTAATTGTATCTGCATCAGGATAGATTTGCCATTTTAAGATTCAGTCAGTTGTAGACAAGGTCTTCACACGATGTATATAATACAGCAGCTCTGACTAACCTCTGAATCTGACATGTCTTCAAATCAGTGCTCTTAATATGCAGTGAGCAAGTGTCTCTGCCTTTAAGATACTGTCCTTTAAAGCTCTCTTCACAACACTTCTGGTAAGAGTCTACTGCAACATACTGCATTTCAGTAGCAGGCTCAGTTGCATCTGTCTGTTCTTGCCTGTTGTACAGGCAAATATAATGTGTTTTCTGATTTGTGTGCAGAATCACTGCAGTTCATCTCCAGTGTGGCCCCATTCAAAAAGTCCTTAAATAATCCATAAGACAAGCTCCATTCTAACAGTGCTAAAAACAGATGTTGGAAAACATCCTTCAGCAGCACTACTAACTAATTTGGAGGTTAATATTACTGCCCAGTCTGTCCAAGAACATAGTCTGAAATAGCACCTAATAAATAACTTCTCTGCAAGTCTGAGCAGCTATGAAGCTGTTTTGCTTTTGCAACCATTAAAAGCCAAAGAGGCTCTAAAAGAAAAGCTAAAAATTGACATAATGTGTAAAACAAGGCCTCCTCCCTCATCACACGTCCAATATTTGTCAGGCTTTCACAGGAGATAATGAGTTTCAAGCCTTTCAGCAATCTCAGCTTGCAAAACATTCACTGTCAGTACCAGATCTTTAAAAAGCCCACAGTCTCGTTGTCACTTCCTGACAGGCACTAAATTGTGCTGGGATCCATGAGAAGTTGCACTGCAGCTATTTTGTGGGATATGTCCTAGCTGAGCACTCACTGAGCTGCTCGTGTATGGACATGTGTGGGTGAACAATGGCTTGGCTTCCAGGACAGCTTAAGTGCTCCAGTCTTTTTTGACACTTGCAGAGTTTTGATAATCACTAAATTCCTGACAGTGGTTCCTGAACACCTTCCAAACTGTAGCTTTGGCTAGCTTTAGCTTACTCTCTAGAGAAGGCTGAAAACTTTTTGCTCCTGTCCCATGCTAACTTCCTAACTCCCCAGTGAGAGAGCAAGGAATTAAATTCATCACCTTTGTCAAATAGCCAGTTCTAACAGGAAACCATTATTGCCAGTGAATAATAAATGCTTCGTGTTTCTCAGTTTGCTTTACTACCTTCCCATAACTTCTTGTTGGGACAGTCAGTCTCCTTCCTTACTGATCTTTAAACCTGGCTTCATCTGACAGAAAATTAACTTTCTCCTTCTTTAAAAAATGGCAAGATCAGCATCAGTAACTCCAGGGATGCATGGGGTATAAATCAGACACTATAAACTGGGTCTCTCATAAATTG